ATACCACACTCAGGCTTTCCTTACTCATCCATGTTTCAGAAAGGCAGCACTAGAGAAACAGACCTATGTAATCAAATAATGCCTGCAATTCAATTGGTACCACTTGCAAGAAAATATGCTGTGCATATACTCAGGTCACCCGAACTCTGGGGTTTCTTGCATAACTGAATGAAGGGAAAATTGATATCAGACTAAATAAGGGATTTGTTTCCTGAAAACCCCAGAACACTGAGTGATAAGGGCAAATAACTGCAAGAAAAAGATTTATAGAAGTGTGGAAGGGAAGTGTTGAGTCTGTTTAAAGAGAGTATTTAGCTAAAAGTTTCTTCTAAGTAAACTGATGACCTCTAATTCACTTTTGTTGAAGTGAAGTTTCTTTTTTAATACTTCTTCTGTTTTGCAAGAGGTATATAAAACTTTTCTAGTTTTTCAAACTGCTAACAACTGTGAAAGCTGACTTCCAATGCAATCTTTTATAATATCTTTACTGCTGTGACTTTGTTACCCTGCCTTCAATAGGAATACAGATCTCTACATAGAAGGAATTAATTCTCTTCAATAAAGAAATTCATTCACTTTAATGTTTTATTGTGCTGCAATAGCAGGATGAGCATGTATACAGGGTATTCACTGACATGTATGCACCACATCATTGCTATGTAGAATCATTTACATTTGCATGTAAGTATCAAAACACTTCTTGTACCATTTTGGGGGACAGATCAATATACCAGTGGTGCTCTCACTTATAGCAGCAACCCTGCTGATAATTCTGTCAGTTACTCTTTTAGAGGTCTTGGGATTTTACAGCTCATGATTACATTTCAATCCACCACTGCTCTGACAACTTAGTAGAAAAATCTTTTCTTGTCTTCAGTTGAATAAATTGCATTTTATTGTCTTTTACCTTCTGGAACATGAGCAGTGGGAGAGAGAGTTGATATCTGCTGTGCATGGCTTCCCCTTGGTGTCAGTCCATCTGCCAGAGAAGACATTTAGTGATCTGCTGAGTTGGTCCTACAGTCAACCTCAGCTCCTCTTAAATCAAGTTTTTTAGCTGTTCACCTGTGAGTACTCCTCTTGTTAGGTCTGAGGTCTTGTTGGTTACCTTGTATTAATTTTTTTGTAGGAAACTTTTGGACACTGAAGATGAACTCTCTGACATCCAGTCGGATTCGGTCCCGCTGGAAGTGCGGGACTGGTTAGCTTCTACATTCACGAGAGAAATGGGAATAGTGAAGAGGAGACCTGAGGAAAAGCCCAAATTCCGAAGCATTGTGCATGCTGTACAGGCTGGGATTTTTGTAGAAAGGTGAGAGCATTGTTTTCTTGTTACTGCAAGCGCTGCATTTAACCAGTGTCTGCCATCCTTTAAACGGTGGGAGGAACCCAGAGCAAATCTTTGAGCCAGAAATGCTTCAATTTCTGCAGCCACTCCATTTTTCTATACAGAATTCCAGATGAAACCTCTAAATCTGTAGAATCACGTAGGCACTGGAAAATTCTGGGGTTGAATTCAATGTCTTTGTAACTTCTACACTAAATCGTACCAAAGATTGTTCTAACAGTAAAGAGTAATATACTTGCAAAGGGGTTTGTCTCATAACTTCATAAAATATTACATAAATCTTTGGGGTCAGACCCTTAAACAGATTCATGTTACTTCACAAACTCTGAAAGAAAAATTAAAAAAAGATAAATTGTTCCAGTATGTTTTTAAAGAAGTGCTATTTCTTAATATTTTATTTTTTCTTTTAGGATGTACCGAAAAACTTCAAGCATGGTTGGTTTGGCTTATCCAGCAGAAGTGATAGTCACATTTAAGGTGAAAGAAGTTTAATCATTGTGGAATTTGAACGTATTTGCACTTGAAAAAAACTTGATTTTGAATGTATTTTAGTGACTTTTAGGGTCAAATTAATATTTTTCTACTGAACGTACCCTAGTCATAGTTAGTACTACAGAAATGAGCACAAAGTACAGAGAAACTAATAGTTAAGAATTCAGAAATAACATATGATTCTTATTAATTCTGATTTCATTTAGATCCTATTAGACTAATAGAATGAAATTTGTATAGAAGTTTTTATAGAAATGTGAGACAGTTTTATCAGCTCCCAGTGGTATCGTAATCAGTGTCTCAGACAGCAGCATTTGTTTCCTTTTTAGGAAAGAAAAAGAAGATAGTATTGGGATACAGCTAACAAAAGAAGCTGAAGCTTATGGAACAAGCACAGTATTTGCTGTATATTTAAAGTATTACTCTAGTTGAGCCAAATGATCTTGTTCCTATGTCTATGAATGCAATTATAAACTGGGATTTCTTGAGAATTAAGTACCTCCACTTTTCCCCTGAAAGCCAAACAATTTTATTATTCTCAAATTGCTTTATGTTTAATGACATCAGTGTTAATGACATTGCATAATAGCCTATTTGAAGGCTGGTATTCAGAGTAGCTCCATGAGGCTGTATAGAGAATTCATACTGAGAAAGTTAAACTTGGAAGTTTGGTTCAAAGCGTGCAAAGTGGCCTTGGTCATGTTACAAGCATTTTATTCATGACTGACACAATTGTTTTCATCATTAATATTGTAGTGACCATTAATGTGTTATCCACATTAGGAATTTGAAAGAGTTGGGTAATAAAACCACCAAACTCTCCCTCTTCCCTCTAGATACTAGCCAAATGGATGGAAATGTAATGTTTTTTTGGTTTTTATTGTTTTCCTTTTCCCTCATCTACAGGATGTTGATAAGTGGTCTTTTGACGTATTTGCCCTTAACGAAGCAAGTGGAGAGCACAGCCTGAAATTTATGATGTATGAGCTGTTAACCCGATATGACCTTTTGAGCCGTTTCAAGGTCAGGAACTAAC